TTGAGTTTTAAGGGTTCTTTGTATATTTTGAATAACAGTCCTTTAGCAGATGTGTCTTTTGCAAATATTTTCTCCCAGTCTGTGACTTGTCTTCTTATTCTCTTGATATTGTCTTTTGCAGAACAGAAGTTTTAAATTTTAATTAAGTTCAGCTTATGAATTACTTCTTTCATGGTTCATGCCTTTGGTGTTATATCTAAAAAGTCATTGCCATACCAAAGGTCAGCCAGGTTTTCTCCTATGCTGTCTTCTAGGAGTTTTATAGTTTTTCCTTTAACATTTAGGTCTAGGATCCATTTTGAGTTAATTTCTGTGATGGGTGTAAAGTCTGTGTCTAGATTCATTTTTTTTTTGCATGTGGATGTCCAGTTACTCCAGCATCATTTGCTGAAAAGACTATCTTTTCTCCACTGTATTACCTTTTGTCTTTTGTCAGAGATAAGTTGACTATATTTATGTGGGTCTCCTAATATATTTTGTGATATTTGTGTTAATTTGGGTTGGCCAAGAAACAGATGCCAGGACAGGTTTACATGAGCAAGAGACTTACTGGGGGAGGGAGCTGGAAAGGGCAGAGAAAGCCTTCAGACCATGTTGAAGGTCTGATATCTGTGGAAGGAGATGGGGATGCAAGAAGACTTGGGTAGGAGGAATCTTGCATCATTGTATAGTTCTAAGAAATGTTTACCTATCCTGGTGGGGAGTACTCAAGTCAAAGTCAGCCCCTGGAGGGGAAATGTGCCTTAGTAGAACAGGCCTGCCTTAGTACTGCCATGTTCTTCCTCACTTCCCGAGAGCAGCCTGTGGGGAACACAGACTTGGTTGGACACAGGGGTGGCTCCAGAGGGCCAGTAGCTGGGGTAAGCAATCAATTATGTTCCTTGCAGCAAGAGATCTGAGTTCTCCAGGACTGCCACAATGTCTGATATTAGTAATGGTGTTTTCTGTCTTTTCCATTCTAACAGTCTCGTTAGAGGTTTATTAATTTTATTAAACTTTTCAAAGAACCAACTTTGGTCTTTGTTGGTTTTCTCCATTGTGTAGTTGTTTCCTATTTCACTGATCTATTGTCTTTATCGTTTCCTTTTTCTAGTTTTCTTAGGTTTGATTCTCTATTCTTTTTCTAGCTTTTTGAGCTAGAAACTTAAGTCATTGATTTAAGGTACAAATCAATCAAGGAGAGGTACAAAGGACCAAATAGAAGTCATTTAAATGATAACATACAGTCAACTGGTGGTGTCCAGCTGAATCATTTCTTAGAGGGAAAACTACAGCCTTACATGCATGTATTAGCAAAGAAGAAAAGTTGAAAAATCATGCATCCTAACCCAATGAGGTTGTTAAACTCTAGTCCCCTGTCTCTTGGTAACATATCAGTATCTAATGCACCTTGAAATTCCAATGTCAGCTCAAGTTTTCCACACTGTCTTTGAGTTCCCCCTTTGTTTCTGGCACTTTGGGAATCCTTTATATGTTGAGATCACTGATGTATAATAAAATGTATTGTAAAAATATTTTATCCAGCATGAGTGTTTTTAGCATGTATATTCATTTCTGCTCAAACCTATGTTTTTTGAAGTTTCCCGGTACGTCAATGTTTAAGGAGCAGTTCTGAAATGGATAAGTACTAGTCAGAGAGGTTGGATGAGAAGCGTAGAGAGAAGTACCAAAAATCCAAAGAAAATAGGGAGGTGATGAAGTGAAAAAGCAGATACAAGTTCAAACTAGAGGTCCAATTCCCATTGGATTTTACTAAAAATGATTAATTATAACTTTTGCAAAACAATTTTAGAAAAGTGATGGGGTGAAAATCAGATTTTAGTGGCTTAGGGAAGAACAGGGCTTAAGAAGTAGGGATAGCAAGTAGACTCTTCTTTCAAAATATTTAATAGAGTGTGCAAGGAGAGATAGCAGATGTTAGGTAGAAGATAAAGCAGGTCAAGAGAGCATTTCTGCTTCTCTTTTGTTTCAGACATTTATTTTTTGGATTAGAACCACTTGATAAAGCATCAACAGGGAAACACCGGAGTCCTAATTTGGCCTTGTCCCAATTACTTATCTCCTTAGCTTCAACTATCTACAAAATCTTGACAGTTTCTTCCCTATCTATATCTCAGGATTTTGGAAAAGCTCAACTTGTCATGATCTTGTCTATGTAAAGGCAGCTTCCCCTTTGGCATTTAGTCCTACCTCTAAAATATTTTTCATTATAACTCCACCTCCTCAGTGCTTTCATTTTTGTTCTCACAATGTGGTTTTCATATCCATCGGCCCTTGCATTCCAGCTAAGGCTGCAGTAAACAGAACCATTACAGCTGCAAGTGTTCACTTATACACTTTCCTGCCACAAATTGAATTAATAATCAAAACTAAATTCAGGTGATGTTCCCCACTGTTCTTATTTATTTTTATCCATTGGCTGGTTCACTTCTTCCTTACAGCTCCTTTTGAAGACTAACTGGAATAGGCTCAAGAAATTCTAGGAGAATATGATGTCCTGAAGTGTTCAACTTGAGCTCAGTAGAATGAAGATTCAGCTCAGTTCAAGAATTCAGCAGGTTAGAGTGATTTCTTTAATGAGTAATCAGAATGAATGAAAACTTCATCCACTATTTCTGCTTCAACCTATTACATTTAACATTGACTCAAACTAAAATATTATAGTTGACTTCCTGACCTAGCACTCATACATAAATTTGTGTCTTCAGTTCTATCTATTCAGCACACTTCATAAAAACAGCCAAGAATCCTCCTGCCATTCAAATAAAATCCCAAATATCTAGAATTGAAAATTATGGGTCAGGAATTCTGAGATCCTTGACTTTTAGATATAAAACCAAAGTAATCCAACTAGGTAATTTCAGCATCGATGGAGCCACATGCAGGTCTGTTTGTTCCACTGGACAGGGAAATAAGGAATTCCTGCACATCATGCTGGAATCAGAGTGAAAAACCTTTTCTCTGAAGTGTGTATAACGAAATCAATAGATCTTCCTATGTAAACACATTGTGTGTCTTTGCTAACAATCCTTGGAAGTTCTGCTAAGGGTAAAAAGACTTTTTAATGAATACAAACAATAAACAAAAGTAAGAAAGAAATTAAATAACTGCGTCTTTGCAACAAGTGTCAAGGAGATAGTTTTCACACCCTAGATTTGAGTATATTTAAGAACTGAAACAATAAATATCCTGAACACCTCGGATCCAGGAACAGGTAGCTCAAGCCCAGACTAACTCAATGTTTGGCTCTCAGTGGAGAATCTTCTTCTATATTTAGGCGTGAAAGTTGTATTGGAGAAAGGATTTTTAAAGGGATAATTTAATTTATCATTATAGACATTTTACTGAGAAACAAGCAAAGTGAGTAATATTTTATATTCATTTGATATCTAAACCACAAAACTTCTATATTCCTTCATTTTAAAACTCAATTTATGCTAAAAACATTCAGAAAAGTACAAAATTTTCAATTCTCATTTTTAATACAAAATTTATGACAATATAAATATTCTCTCCTAAAATTAGAACAAAGTCAGCTTATCACCATTCCCTTACTACAATGCTTGTTCCACCGCTTTTATGAATTAAGGCTCAATTTAAAACTTCATTATTTTAACAGCTTTATAAAAGCATAATTGACATACAATAAACCATACATATTTAAGTGAGCAATTTGATATGTTTTGACATACATTATACCCATTCATGTTCAAGTCTCTGTGTGGACATATGCTTTGACTTCTTTTGGGTAAATACCAGGGAGGGGAATGACAGGGTCTTATGGTACATGTATGTTTACTTTTATAAAACTGCCAAGCTGTTTTCCAAAGCAGTTGCACGATTTTTCATTCTTATAAATAGCATATGAGAGTTCCAGTTGCTCCATATCCTTGTCAACACTTGGTATTGTCATTCTTATAGTTTTAGCCATTCTATAGTTGTGTCCTGGTATCTCATTTTGATTGTAATTTGTATTTACCTAATAACTAATGATGTTGCTCATCTTTTCATTTGCTTTTTGGTATTCATATATATTCTTTGGTGAAGTATCTATTTGAATATTTTGCCCATTGTATAATTTGGTCATTTCATCTTTTATTATTTCCTTTCTTCTTCTTAGTTTGGGTTTCATTTGTTCTTCTTTTCCTAGTTTCTTAATGTGGGGGCTGGGGCTGTTGATCAGAGAAATTCTTCTGTTAAAGTGCTAAAAATTTCCCTCCAAGTACTGCATCAGCTGTGTCCCACCATTTTAACACGTCATGTTTTCATTTTCATTTAGTTCACAATGTTGTCCAATTTCCTCTTTGATTCCTTCTTTGACGCATAAATTATTTAGAAGTATGAGAATTCCCCTCAACTCCTGGGAAGACTCTTAAACAGAGCATGTGTGAGGTGAGACTTTAAGAGACGCAGCAGAAAACAGATGGTGGGCTGCAGAATCAAGGAGAAAGTTGGCACCCCCCTCCCGCAGTGTTGCGGAGTCAGAGATTGTAGTTTGAGCCTTGCTAAATTAGGGTGGCCTTGGTAAACATCCAGGGTCTTCTTCAGACCCCCAGAAAAGTCATGCCCTAGAAGTAAATGCCTCAAGTTAGGAGAAAGTACTACACCCTGGGAATAAGGTCATGATTGTTATTAAAGGCAAAACAAAGCTTCAAAACCACCCTCGACCCTATCAAGGTCTTTCCCTGGTACTTTGCCTCTTAGTTCTCCATGACTGCCTCTTCTTAAGGACTCTGTCCCTCAAGTTCAGGCATTTCAGTAGCCTGAGACTCTGAACTCCGCGTTCTCCTCCCAGTAAGATCACTACATTATATTTAGGCTCATTCCTCTGCAATACAAGCTGAGAGATACCGTTAGGGAAGGAGCCAGGAAGAACAAGCAAAGAAAGGGGCAGGCTTCTCTTCTTCATGACTCATACCCTTCAGTATTATGCCTGTTGGTGTCTAGCCAATGTCTTCAAACAATTCTTATATTTTGTTTGGTTTTTACAGTTGTTTTTGTCAGGCTATTCCAACACTTGGTCCTGGCTGAAAGAGGAAGTCTCTCAGAATTCTTATTTCCTGGGCCTTGGGCTGCCCCAGGCCTCGGGGTACAAGGGTTTTCTCCCATTTCTACAAAGAAAGACAGGGAGCGTTGGCTGTGCCATGGACAGACCACAGGGATTGGGCTGGGAACTCTAGACTTGCGTTTCTTCATTTGATAGCTGATTGGTTTTGGACTAAGCCTACCTCTAGCCCTAAAATAGTACAGCTCTGTGATCCATTTTGTAAGCATTGTGTGCCTAATTTCTCACAATAGATATAGACAAAGTATAGAATTTAGAAATATGCAAATAAGTGTAAAAATCTAAAAAATGGTTTAACATAAGTGAAATAACAGCTTCGGTGGAACTTTAAAATATTTAGAAGCTGGAGCTTCTGGAGCTCCAAGGAATGTCTATTCTGGTGAGTTAAACAGTTTATATAAAAATGTTTTCTTAATTACCATGCATGTATTACCAAGTACCAAATAATTTAAGCACATAGCACATCATGTGAAAAATATAATTACAACATTAGCTATTTTAGATGATTCTGAAATTATTGCAGCTTTTATCAGATATGCACAAAAGAAAAAATGTGGAAAAGATGGTTAATAAAGACAGTTTGAAGTAATGAGATTTTAGATAAAACCTTATTATAACTAAAGTTATCAGTCAGAATTTAGTTGGATCACTAACTACTTCTAATTGCATTGATTTTATCTTTTCTTTCCAAACTATTTTGAAAGAGATAACATCAGCTTTTGTTAATGAACATAAGTTTTCATGAAGAATGCAAGGCATATTCACCAATGACAGTAAAACTAACCTGTCCCGTCATTTCGGAACCAATAGGAACGGTGGGCCAGAGGGAAGAGTAAACTGCAAGGAACACCAGCCATATCACTGCGCTTCCCCAGACTGCCAAATGACAAAACTGCAGAAACAAGAATAGCGTAGAAATACTTCAGTCTTTTCTATTTAAAAGGAAAAAAATATTTAACTATCAATCAACTAACAAAATACATTTATCCAGGCCATATGTTCTCATATGAAGGTACCGATAATCTTTCAATTTCTTGATATTTGAGTCTTCCTTTCTAACATTTTCTCAGAATATTTTGCTGTGGACTCAAGGGACTATTGTTTAAAGGACCTAAAACAAATGTACCTTCGTCACCCAAGGCAAGTGATATTCAGTGAAAATGGTCGTCTCTCAATCAGATGTGGTTCACACAATTGATAGGTTATTTAATGAGACTTCTGTTTCTGCCTACTTATTTTTTATTTTTTTTTAAAGATTTTATTTTTTCCTTTTTCTCCCCAAAGCCCCCCAGTACATAGTTGTATATTTCTCGTTGTGGGTTCTTCTAGTTGTGGTATGTGGGACGCTGCCTCAGCGTGGTCTGACGAGCAGTGCCATGTCCGCGCCCAGGATTCGAACCAACGAAACACTGGGACGCCTGCAGCGGAGCGCGCGAACTTAACCACTCGGCCACGGGGCCAGCCCCTCTGCCTACTTATTAATACAAAGCTCTCTTCAGGAAAAAAACAAGTTGGAAAAGAAATCATTAAGAGGGATAAAAATTTGACCCTGTCATACTTGTTCTGTGTGAGTAGATCTGGGGCAATGGCAGAAGTTGTGAATGTCAGATCGACCGTAACTGGAGGATTTGCTGTGCATATCAACGATGTATGTCATTCTGGTTGAGACTGTTGGCTGAAAGATCACTGCCCATGTCTGGGACTAGGAACTTCTGCCGCATTCCATAATGGTAAATGCTAAGCAGGCAGACCCTGCTGTCAGTCTGGTCTGTTGCTTTGTACCTTTTGTGTTATCAGAGGAATAGTAAGAAAAGGTAGGAGAGCCATGCTCCAAACTTGGCTATGCTGGGTGCACCGCATACCTCTGCAAGCCTCAGAGGTATCATTTACATGTAATAAGATGAGCAGCCGGACAAGACGGTTTCATAAGGGCTCAAGTACTCTCATTCTGTTAGGTACTACTCATTACTTAATCATAGCTGAACAACAAAAATATTGAGAATGCCCCTCCTCCACAATCTGCGATTCCTCAGGGTATTTATTATTTGTTTATGAGTCATCTTCAAGGGCAATTTTTCACACTCTTTAAAAATAACCTCCCACTTAAATGATTCCTCCCTCTGATTAAATAGAACTGGTCTCCTGAGGGCTGTCTCTCTCGTGATCATGCTGAGATGATGGAGGAGAGGATCAGCCCAGGACTGGGAACTTTAAACTTTTCAAATACTGTATGCATCAGTCGACATAATACATTAGCTGCAACGTGAGGCATTTCTGTATGGCTCATAGTATTTTCAGGTGGGTCTCAGTTGGGACCACTACCTTGGGGGCGGTGGCAAGACACCACTGCTGCTTTGAGATGTATTTGTTATCTCTCCACCCTGGCTCATTCTCTGTACCTGAACGATGGCTCCCAGCATCCTCTTCCCCATGGAAGAAGCACCAGGCCTCAACCCTCCCCACATGGCAGAGTAGCATAAGAGAAAAACCGAGAACCAGTCCCTTGTCTTTCCTGCCCGTCTCCAGGCTCCTTGTTATCCTCTCTGTGAGCTGGAAGGCAGGAGCCTGGTACCTCTTAGACCAGAAGAGAGACCTCTTGTGTTTTGCTGAGTCTGCTTTGGCCTTGAAATATTGCCTTATCCATAAACGAGATTCACGATATGCAGATAATATAAGTCATCACGGATCTAAGAAATACTTACTAGAGGGAATTTCACAACAACTAAAAGGAAGACTCAAAAATAATCATTTCTATATTTATGTTACATTAATGTGGTATAATACCACACTTACAATTAGTATGCCTTATGAATTGCTAATAAAATATTTTTGTGCAGAACTCCTCAGTCCCAACTTAGTGTTGACATCCAATTGAGACAGAAGCAGTGAGAACTCTAAATTGATTGTGTCAGAGAAGAAATACATGGTATGCTACATAATCTTGGCTCTCCAACGGGGACAAACTAATAAAAAATTCATTTTCTCTCATAAAATTTTTGAGTACAGCTTAGAAAACAACTTACTTATAGGTGTATATGTGTCTATGTATGTGTGTGTGTATATATATATATATTCACTTAAATTGTTGAAAAGTTAATAAAAAATTGTGTTTAATTCAACAGAAGTTTCAATTTTAATAATATCATAAGAAAATTCTTACTTATGTCTGCAAATACACAGGTACATCTGTGCTCACAGTAGTATTGATTACATGTTGTTCATAGTTGCAAAAGTTAAAGCAATTATTCTAAAAATAATTTCAATAATAAACATCCATGTATAAAATATTATACAGTCATTAAATGAGGTATAAAAATTAAAGATCTGTAAAAATGTTAAAGATCTGTTAAGTGAAAAAAGCAAATTATAAAATATTAGGTACATTATAATTCTATTTTTGTGAAAAAATATAAGCATACACAAAGACTGAAAGAATAGAAATCAAAATGTCAATGTCATTGACATTGAAAGATACGGGCAATTTGTATTTCCTTCTTTTTCTGTACTTGCTAAATTTTCTAGTATAATTCTGTACTTGGATAATAATAGTGAATTAAGAGTCTCAATTAACAGGATGATAAATTGAATCTATTTCAAATGTAAGACAGGAAAATGAACATTCTAAAGACATTAGATGGCTAATATGTCATCATCCAGTTTAAATCATCACTTGAACATGCAAAACAAAAGAAAGTAAAATACGGAGACCAGAAAAAATGCTTATTACTTTTTTAAAGCTTAAAAAGTAAATCGACATACAAACAACTATGCTGGATCGAGGAAATATCCTAAAGAATACTCACTTTATTCCAAGACAGTGTCTCCAAACCAGCTTTCAGACAAACAGTAACAACTACATACTGTGTGAGGTCAGATGGGAAGAGGAAAGAGATTGGAAAATGTATTAAAAATCTCCATCAGAACCCACATCTCCCTTTCCCCTCCTGCCGGCCCCTCCCCTCGGTTCTCCTCCGTGTCTGGGGAACTCCGGGCTCATGAGCTTGCTGAGTGCTTTGCTAGGTTTTAGTTTTTGGGAGAATGCAGCGCTTTTCAATAAATGTTCCACATTTAGAAGCCCTTTAACATATGATGAAAATTATGCTTATGTCATAAGCTTATATTTACATTCTTTATAAATAGCACGGAAGATTTGATTCTGATGAGGAATCCAAGTGCTAATGATAAAAAACACAGTTGAACAGGGTAGATTAAAATCATCATCAATCAAAGAGCATCTTGGTTATCGTTGGCCTTTTCCATTGGGATTACGGTAAATCTATAAATCCTCTGAGGAGAGCTGACTTCCTTAAAGTAGTGACTCTTCCAGTCAACGGACATGGTATATTTCTCCATTTAGATGTTCTTAACATCTCCAATAAAGTTTTACAATTTTTCTCAGAGGTCTTGAATATCATTTGTTTGATTTATTCATATGTTTTTCATATGTTTGACACCACTGTAAAGTAGTATTTAAAATTTTTAAATTTTCTAAAGATTTGTTGTCAGTATATTAAAATATAATTGATTTTAAAATATTGATCAGTGTTTAGCAAACTGCCAACCTCTTTTACTAATTGTAATATTTTATCTGTAGAATTTTTTGTATTTTCTATGTACACACTCATACCATCTATGATTTAAAATGGATTTTTTTTCCCTTTCCCAAGCTTTTGCTTCTCTTTTATCTACTTATTGTTCTGATTAGTAACTCCACTACAGTGTCGAAGGGAGGTGGTAACGCTGAGAATCTTTGTCTTAGTCTCAATCTCAAAGAAAAAGCTTTTGATGTTTCACTAAGTGTGATTTTGTTGAAGGGTGGGTTCTTAGGCAGCAACAGATGAGTGATACACCTAGAGTTTTAAATGCTACTTTTGAAGTAGTCTTTGATTACGTCTACTTCTCCGTCTCCAGCATCAGCATTCTGGCAAGCCTCATCGTCTCACCTAAGCTATTCCCAAACCTTTAAGGTGCCAAGGCGCTGCCCCTACCTTCTGCTCCAAGGCCACCTTTGCCATTACCCTGAATCTCCCCTGCCCAACACGTTGTTTGCACAGTGCTCTAATTCTACCAGACTTTTTTAATTCCCTGAAAACACCAGGGTTGACACCACCTTACTGGAAGTTTACTTCATTCCTCTGGGGACTGTCTTCAGACTTAGTTTTTCCTCCAACTCACTACCACTGGGAACAGCACGTCAGGAAGTTGGGTGAACGATCTCACCCTGATGGGCCTGCCAATTCTCCTTGTATCTCTCCTTTGGCATCACATTTTCAGGTTTCTAGCATTCATCTAGTTCCCTTTCCTTCTTTAGTTGCTATCGTCAATTTATTTTGCTGTAACTTTTTGTTTTTGTTGCTGATTTTACAATTTTGGGTTTTTTTTGTTTGCTTTTTTAGCCTTGGGGGATTGAGATTCCATGAGATCAATTTACTCTGGCATCTTAACTAGGAATCTCTTGTACGTTTGTGTGCATGCATGCATGTATGAATTTAATGTCCTTCTGTCTCTCTAGAATGTAATTTTCATGAGGACTTGGGTTTACCACCATATGTCCATCACTCAACTCAGTGTTCTGCACATGACAGAGCTCAATAAATATTGATGAGTAAATTAAATGAACAAATATCCTATCTGACTTTATTTCCTGGGCATGAAATTAATATGTAAAATATATGCATGACAAAAATGCCTTGAAAAGTGAAAATGTGAAACCAGGAATATGTTTGGGTTTTTTTTGAGGAAGATTGGCCCTGAGCTAACATCTGTGCCCATCTTCCTCTACTTTATTTGTGGGACGCCTGCCACAACACGGCTTGACAAGCGATGCATAGGTCCACACCCAGGAGTCAAACCGATGAACCCCAGGCTGCCAAAGTGGCACATGTGAACTTAACCGCTGCAACACTGGGTTGGCCCCTACCAGGAAAATATTTTTGTAACAAATATTAGAAAAAATTAACATGCTTAATAAGTAAATAATTATTAATAATTCATAAGAAAAATACTAACAGCCCAAAAGAACAACTGGTAAAGTAAATCAACAAGCACTTCACAGAAAAAAGAAAATGAAAGTAGTTTTTAACCTCATGTGAATATACTTGCCCTCAAAGCAAAACCTGTATTAGGGTACCGCTTCACCTGCGATATCAAAAAGTGTGGTGAGACTGCTGTCTATGGAGACTTGGGGAAACCGACATTTTTATCACTAAATTTGTGCAACCTCTTTGGGGGTCAATTTGGTAATGTTTTTCAAAATTCACAATGCCCTCTGATCCAGCAGCTACACTTCTTGAAATTGTCCTACAGATATACTTACTCCTGAGCATAAGATAGTCTTTGCAGCATTGTTCATAATGGCAAAGGACCTAGGACAACCTCATTTCCACTAATAGATTGGTTAAATAAATAAGGGTGAGTTATTCACACAAGTAGCCCTAAAAGAATGAGGCAGATATTTATGGACTGATTTAAAACCATCACCAAGGCATGCTGTGTAATAAAAATCAAGATGTAGAAGAGCATCCCCCTACTTGTACAAGAAAAAGTGGGGGGATGTGTGTTTGTATATGCATGTCACTTTTCTAGAAACGTATACATATATATGCACAACCATTATAATAGTTATTTCTTGAAAAGATATTGAAACATGAGGGAGACTAAAATTCATGGGATACTCTCTTAAAATGCTTGATTTTTTTTAGCTGGCGGGGGGGTGAGGAAGACTGTCCTTGAGCTGACACCGGTTGCCAATCTTCCTCTTTATGCTTGAGGAAGAGTGGCCCTGAACTAACATCTGTCCCCATCTTCCTCTATTTTGTATGTGGGCAGTAACCACAGCATGGCTTGATGAGTGGTGTACGTCCACACCCAGGATCTGAACCTGCAAACCTGGGCCCCCAAAGTGGAGTTTGCTGAACTTAACCACTATGCCACTGGGCCAGCCGCTTAAAAGGCTTGAATCTTTTGATTAAACACTAGTAAAAGTGATTTAACTCGCATGGATGATCTTACTGTATAAATAAAATTTCCAAGAAACAAATAGTCTGTAGTGTGACCACCTCGTAAGACCATATCTGAAAAGTGAAAAAGTCATTTTTTTATCTTATATAGAGTCTGAAACATAGACTTTGAATTAATGTTTACCAAAGGAACCTATACTGGACACCAAACGTATTCATCAATTATTGGTCATATTTAGAAATATAAAGTGCTCTGTCAGTGGCAATAATGTTTACTTTGCCTACCACAATTGTGACTTTTTTCCATCTCTTACTCTCTCCAAAGATCTATTTTGCAAATAAGTAAGTAAATAAATCACAATGAGGACATGAATGAGCTCATTAAACCTAATTTCACATGCATCTAAATCGATGGGCAGAATCGACAAATTAAAAGTCCAAACAGTCCAAGGACAGACACAGGTCACAAGACTTGGACTTTAAGGACTTTGTCATCATGTTTTTCACACTACTCCTTTTCTATGATTTTTAAAACAATAAATCTAACAAATAATTTGAAATTACAATAGAATTTCATATTCTCTTTAACTATTGTTAAGTCTGATGTAAACTTACAAATTTCATCCTAATTTTGATGATTTCTTCAGGGCTTCTTCTCACTTTTTAAAATTCTCGGATGAACATTGGTGGTTCTGGTCCTGCTTGATGTGAAAATTTTGGAGTGCAAATCCCTGACCCTAACACCAGTTCAGGTAGCATACCCATGTATTTGAAGCTCACTTGTTCTGTTTTCTCCTGATTTTAAACCCATTGAACATGCAAGGCTTACATCCTTTCTTGAAACTAGATGCAATGGGATATTAGGGCATCTGATTGAAGGAAACTGTAGATAAATATGTGGGTCAGTTTAGACCAGCTAGAAGAGAGACAATTATAGGTCTGGATTGTGTATAGACCTACCTTGGTGAATTTCACGGGGAGTGGGGTAATAGTTATAAATGATAACAATATTGTACTGGACTAGAAAAGGGGAGAAAATTACTGCATAGAAAGGCCATATCGGTTATAGGTTATGTTATCCAGACATATGTTCACGAAAGAGGGAGAGAAATTACGAGCCACGTCGGGACAGAGGGGAAACTTCCAGTATGCACTGGTGGTATGAAACACAAATTCCTTTCCTTCTGGATATTATACAAAACCAACTATGTAAACAGAGAAAACATCCACAGAATCTATCAGGGAAAGTAGGAGACAAAAAATCCACAGACTCGGAAAGCTAATGAAGGCTTCCAGACAGCTAAGGGGAGCACAGAAGCTTTGCTTGGTAAGTGATAGTAGAAGATCTGGGGTAAAGGAAATATCAGTCTGGCCAAGGGCTGCAGATCTCAGAACATATCAGCAAAAATACTCTCCTTAAAAGAAGCTTCTTTAAGTGGCTGGAAAAGAAAAATCTAATTCCTTGAACAATAATATAAAGGAAGCAGGCACAGCATCTATAAAAAGAGACTAAAAAAAGGCAAAATATTCTATTTCATGATTTATATGGTTATTATTCACTATAATATAAATTTGCCTATTGTATAAAATGTTTTCAAATGGTTTAAAAGCAAATGAACAGAAGAGCAGCAAAACTTAGATGAAGAATACTCAACCAGGGAATCCTGCAACAAGACCTTATTATAACCAGCCAGCAAAGAAATGACTGGAGAAGCCAGAGCAAAAAGACTTGTTGGGAACATTTGTTATATTTAACTACAGAATTAAGACTAAAAAACCAAAAACAAGTGTGGTGTTAGAAAGATCAATCTGATTGTAATTCTATACCCAGAGAAGGTGGAAATGATGCAATTTATATAATACATGAGGGTACAGGTGGAGTAGATGAGACATAGAGTAAGTTTGCAGGTTTTCTCATCTATAATAACCGGGAGTCAAAGAAAATTCAAAGCTAACAAATCAAGCAATGGAATTCTAAGTTTATTTAACAGTATAAAGGTATGTCATGTGCAAGATAATGGGATGCTGGATGAAAGGGAAGAGAGACAGAAGAAAGGGAAACATGAGAATTTTACCATACTTGGAAACAAATGGAGTCGTCTAAATAAACACAGCACTGTTTACATAAACTTATAATAAAAATAACCATAAGAACAAAAATTAAAACCTTCCTGAATATCGGAAGACAACACACACAAACAAAAAACAAAGAAAGCCTACCACCTAATTAAAGATTAGAAAAATATATTAAAACAGGAAATGCAAAGTCAAAAGAGATAGTGCAAACAAAACCTCTTTTTAAAAAATGAGTTTCAGATTGTATCTTAAAACAAAACCCAATTTCTATGTTGTACACAAGCAACACTCCTAAAAAAAAATTCATAAAATTTGAAAAATAAAGGACAGGCGAGGAAAATACAAATTAAAAGGACAAGATGCAGTATGAACATTAGTTAAGAAGAACTTGAAGAGAAAAAGATTTAAACAAGACAAAGAAAGTTAATTTATAAAGCCAGTGGTAGAAGTTGCAATGATTATGAAATAGGAGCATTGGTGCAACAAATAAGAAAGACTTCTCAATCATAAATTACAAAAAATTAAAAGGGAAACAAATATGTTAGTAGTAGAAGACCTTCCCTCACCTTTCTCAGGACATGAAAGATCAGCTGACAAAGAAACTAGCAAGACCAGGACACTTGATGAAGTAACAGGACTTTCCCTCCTGCTATAATCAATAAGAAGATTGGACAAAACAATTTCCTTTAGACATTGGGTAAAAAGCAGCACAGGACTGTGATTCCTGAGAGAAGGGTAAAAAATTAGGTGAGCTTTACCATTGCCCTTGCTTCACACCTGGAGGCAATGTCTAGACTACTGTGCAGCAAGAGCCCAAAGACAGAGCAACACTTTTGCTGAGTTGATGAGACAGAGATTGGGCTTTAGAGAAGCCAAGGTGGCTGGAAATTGCAGAACTGAACACTGGAAATGAGAACTAAGCAGAGAATGAGCTCCAGAAATTCACATGGGGTCCTCATAAGTCTTTGCCCGCATGCCAATTCGCATATGTGGACTGAGAAATTTCACAAGTCCTGCAATGGGCAATAACCATGGAAAACCAAATCACCACAGAATCGCAAGCCAAAAATTGCCAGATCTAATACGGAGCTAGGAATTGCTCAAATTTCCATGAGCCAAAGTGAAGGGACATCATTCACTATATGAAGCATTTAGTAGAGACCCAAGAAGAGATAACCTTAGTACAGAAACTAAATTAATCTTACAGTAAAAGATACCCTAGACTCAAAAATAAAAAGAAAAACAAATCTTAAAAGGATCATAGAGAATTTAACTACTTACCAAAACAAAGTCCAAGCATTTAAATGTACACAAGAAAAACACTCAGCTGCATAAAATTTGCAATGTCCAGCAGCCATTATAAAATGTGCGAAATGTGACAAAGCAAAAAATTTGACCTATAACAAGGAGAAAATTGGCAACAGAAGCCAACCAAGAAATAATAGAGATGTTGGAATTAGTAGGAACGTCTTTAAGATAGCTATTATAAATATTACAATTATACCAGGGATTTAAACAAAAACATGAACATAATGAGAAGAGAAACAAAAGATGTAAAGAAGACCTAAATAGAATTTCTGGAGATGGAAAATGTTACTGAATTGTGATTAACAGCAGAGGGCCACTACTGAGTAGAAGGTCAATAATCTCAAAGACATGGCAAAAGAAACTAAAAATGGACTGAAGAGAGAATGAAGATAGTATAAATGAATATAGATGTGGGAAAATATCAAAGGTTCTAACAGATGTGTATTTGGAGTCCCAGAAGAAGAGGAAACACAGTGAGATAAGAAAGAAAGGAAGGAAGGACAGAAGGAAGGGAGAAAGAAAGAGAAAGAAAGAAAGAAAGAAATGATGAGCAAATTTTTCCAAATTTGATGAAAACTGTAAACCAGCAGACTCAAAAACTTTGAGCAATCTCAAGAAGGATAAATGCAAATAAAACCACACCAAGGCATATCCAAACCAAATTGCTGAAAACCAGTGATAAAGAGAAAAATCATAAAATCACACAGAGATAGAAAACATTACATAAAGAGGAACGAACAAATACAAGAAATATCACAGACTTCTCAACAAACTAATGCAAACCAGAAGGGAACAGACTGACGTTTTTCAAGTGTTGAAGAAAATGAACTATAGATCTAGAATTCTATATCCAGCAAAAATATTTTCTCAAAATTGAAGGCAAAATAAAGTCTTTTTTGACGAAATTTGAAACACTATTCATTTGCTTTAAATTTGGAAGAATTTAAATTAGCTTTCAAAGCTTATGTTAGAAAAGCAAAAAGCTTTTCTTTTTCTTGAACAAATCAATGACCTAATGTTCCAGCTTCAACTAGCTGGAAAAGAAGAACAAATTAAATGTCAATTAAATAGAAGAGAAGGAAATTATAAGAGTAGAAATTAATAAAACAGAAAAAAGGCAAACAGTATATAAAATCAATGAAACCAAAGTTGGTCATTTGAAACTACTGATGAAGTTGATAACCTCCAGCTACACCGATTAAGACAAAAAAAGAGAATTCAAAATTACCAAGCTTGGGAATTAAAGAGAGGATATACAGTAGATACCAGCATGAATATCACTGATAATAAAGGAATAGTACAAACAGACTTATGCCAAGAAATGGGAGAACTTGGATGAAAATAAAAAATTCCTTGTAAGATACAAATTAACGAAAAGGATTCAACAAAAAATAAAAATCTTGGGGCCAGCCTCATGGCTGAGTGGTTATGTCTGGGTGCACTGCTTCAGCAGCCGGGGTTTCATTGGTTTGGATCCCGGTTGCAAACGTGGCACCGGTCATCAGGTCACGTTGAGGCAGCATCCCACATGCCACAACTAGAAAGACCCACAACTGAAAAAATATACAACTATGTACTGGGGGGATTTGGGGAGAAAAAGCAGAAAGAAAAAAAAATAAAAATAAAACTTGAAAAAAAAATAAAAACATAAAAAAATAAAAATCTAAATATTCCTATATTCAGTAAAGAAATTAGATTCATAATTAAAATTTTTCCCATGAAGACTCAAG